TAAACTCACTTTCTCCAGAGCACAGCTTTTAATCTCTTTCTCCAATACCAAATAAACCGGATTTTCTTTTATCTTTTTCTTTTTTTTCTTTATTGGTTTTAGAGAAAGAGGAAGGGAGAAGGGGAGAAGGGAGAGAGAGAGAGAGAGAGAGAGAGAGAGAGAGAGAGAGAGAGAGGGAAACATAAATGAGAGAGAACACTGATTGGCTGCCTCCTGCATGCCCCCACTGGGGATCAGGCCCACCACCTGGGCATGTGCCCTGATCTGGAATCAAACTGGCAACCTCTTGGTGCATGGGTCGACGCTCAACCACTGAGTCACACTGTCCGGCTAAACCTGATTTTCTGATGTCTTCATCATCAGAATAGCATCACCAATTTTGGTTTAAGTTAAAAACCTGCATCATGGCCCTGGCCAGTTTGGCTCAGCGGTTGGAGCGTTGGCCTGTGGACCAGAGAGTCCCAGGTTTGGTTCCCGCTAGGAGCACATACCAAAAAAACCCAAAAAACCTGCATCATATATTTTTCTTCTTCACCTACCACATCCAATCCACCATCAAACGCTGTTTCTGGCCCTGGCCAGTTTAGCTCAGCGGTTGGAGTGTCGGCCTGTGGTCCAGAGAGGCCCAGCTTAGGTTCCTGCTGGGGGCGCGAACCTCGGTTGTGGTTTGTCCCCGGCCCTGCTTGGGTCCTGCGGGTGGCGGCCACTCAATGTGTCCTTTTCATGTCAATGTTTTTTTCTCTCTCTCTCTCTCTTTTCCTCTCTCTCTCCCTCCCACTCTATCTGAACAAAAAATGGGAAAGTGTCCTTGGGCGAGGATAGAAAAAAAAAAGCTGTTTCTGCCTCCAAAATGTATTTTGAATCTATTCACTTTCCTCCATCCCCATCTCACTCCCTAGATGTAGCAGCTTGTCGTCTCTCCCCTGGATTTTAGCAGTAGCCTCCTAAAGTTACTGGATTCCTGGCTTCCACTCTGGTCCCCTTCCATTCCCTTTTCCAAACAGCAGCAGGTGGAATCTTTTCAAATATATAAATCTGATTTTGCTACTGCTCTAGTTAAAAGCCCTCTATGCCTCCCTAGGCTATTCCTTTTAGAATAAAATCCACAGTCCGTACCATAGCCTGAGGCCAATTCCCTCCTTTCCTTTCACTGTGACCTTAAGTTTACCATTTTCTCCCTTACCATGCTTCTATCACATTGACCTTCTTGGTGTTCCTTGGCCCTTTCTTTCTTTTTTTTTTTTTTTTGGTACGTGCCCCTAGTGGGAACTGAACCTCAGACTCTCTGGTCCGCAGGCTGACGCTCCATCATCTGAGCCAAACTGGCCAGGGCTGAAGCCCTTTCTTATGCCAGGGTTTTGCACTTGCTCTCTCCTCTGCGTGAAATACCTCCCCCTTTCACCCTACCTCTTTTTGTGGCTCTCTCATCTTTTAGGTCTCAGCTGAAATATCCACTCTGCAGAAAGTTTTCCCCCCACCACACACATCATAGCTAAAATGAGCTCCCCAGTTACTATTTTATTCTTCTGTTTATTTCCCTTAGAGAATTTACCACATTCTGATTATTATGTTCAATTGTTTACTTGCCTACCATCTCTTTCTTCCAGCTCCATGAAAGCAGAGATCATGCCTGTCAAGTTCATGGCTTTGTGCTCTGTGTTTAGAACAGTGCCTGAGACATGGTAGACTCTTAACAGATATTTATTGAATGGATGGATCAATGAATAATGAAACAATTTTCTCTAAGTCCTGATCCCTCTATCTCCTTACTATCTCTCTCTCTTTTTTTTAATCCTCACTTGAGGATTTTTTTCTACTTATCTTCAGATAGAGTGGGAGAGAGAGAGAAACATTGACATGAGAGGGACACATCGACTGGTTGCCTCCCGCAGGACCCCCACCAGGGCTGGGGAACCACAACCAAGGTATGTGTTCTTGACTGGAATCAACCTCGTGAATCATTGGTCCATGGGCCGGTGCTCTAACCACTGAGCAAAACCAGCCAGGGCTCTCTCTATATTTTTTTAATCCTCAACCGAGGATACTTTTTCCATTTATCTTCAGATATGGTGGGGGGGGGGGAGATCAATGTAAGAGAGACACATCGACTGGTTGCCTCCCCGTGTCATTCTCTGAATGACCCCGACCTGGGCCAGGGAGCAAACCGCAACCGAGGTATGGTGCCCTTGACTGGAATCAAACCTGAGGCTCTTTGGTCCGTGGGCTGACGCTCTAACTGCTAAGCCATACCTGCCAGGTCTCCTTACTATCTCTTGAATCTGTTCCTACCATTGTTATAACCACTGGCCTCCATCACTTCCAACCTGGATTTCTGTAACAATCTATTCAAGGGCCTCTCTGTCTTACCCTGTCACCATTCTTCTTATAGTAGTCCTGAAAATCATGTCATACTCTGCTTCAGTGCTTCAATGGTCCCCTGCTACTTGCAGGAGGAATTTCAAATCCCTTCCTTTGGTCATCACTCAAAGCCCTAAATGTTCTAGCTCCTGCTGCCTCCTTTATGGCTTTTTTCCAAACTCACCACCATCACCACACACATATGACCACAGAAATCTGCCGACACTTCCCCTAATAAATCGAGATGTTTTACAAGTTCTCATTTTTGTGAGATGTTCTCTCTTCCTGAACTTTTTCTGTTTGCCTTCCCTCTATCCAACTAACCCTACTAGAACATGTCAGTCACTCCAGCCCCTCTCCCTGGGAACCAGCTCTCACCATACACTGTGTACTCCTTCCTCAGAGCCCTTCTCAGGACTCTCCTATTGGTTCATCAGCTCTCCAAGATAGGGCCTGGATCTTGTGTGGCCTGGTCACACAATGCTGCCAAAACAGGTCATTTAGTAGAAAGTACAGACTCTGAGTCAGACGAGGTTTAAAACCTTGCACCACCACTTACCAGTCAAGTGACCTTGAACAGGTCCAAGCCTTGGATTCTTGATTTGTGAAATGAGGTTAACAGTTGTATTTATTTTATGGATGGGTACCTACCTGTGTGAGGATTAAATTAGCTACACTGTTTACATGCCTTTCTCTCCTGATGGAGGACAAGGACCCTGGGTACTGCCATTATCTTTCAGTTATTAGTGTAGGGCCTGACAAGCAATCAAGGCAAATAAAATATTTGTGTTGAATGAATGCATCTGGCATGGAGGCAACAACCAGAGGACCAGCCTGGGCTAGATGGGGAAACTGAGGCTAAAATGGTTATCAGTGGTTCATTCTTCACAGTGGCAGAGCTGGCTGGATGTCAAAACCTACTTCACCCCCACTCCCACCATGAGCTGCTTCTATCCAACCACATGAATTCTCCAGGGTATCTGTTTTCCTATAGGTGGAATCTGAGTTCCCAGATACAGGATCTTCTGAGTCCTCATGCATGGATGCAACAGCTGCACAACTCCGCAGGGTGAGGGAATAAAACATGTGGTGGCTGCAAGACATTGCCACATACCCTGATTTTCTCAGACCTCTGGGCTGGATTTTCTTCATCCCTTTAGAGACCAAGGCCCAGGCACGAGGGAAAAGTGTGTCTTCATCTTCTCCCTTGGCCCTTGAGTCCCCAGGCTGCCCTTTTCCATGTAGGGTTGGAAAAAGGTTGGGAGCCTGAGGGCCAACAGAAGACAGTGAAAGGAGAGTTCGATCAACTGGTGCAGCTGCTGCTATGGCACCCATTGATCCTGCAGGCACCTAATTCTTTCTGCAGAGACATGGGGGCAGGGTTGACCTGAGAGCTAATGGGAAAGAGGTGGGGTGGGGGTGGGGGGAGATGGTGGTGAGGGGTGGGATGTAGCCAGTCACTTTCTCTCTCTGGGTCTCTGTTTCTTAAAGTGTAAAATGAGAGTTCAAGGTATAACTAACACCATTCTCTGCTGGTCTCTACATTTCACTCTCTACAAGGTTGTCAAGGATGCAAGATTACGGCTGAATGGGGGCGGGGGTTGGGGGTGGCCCTCAAATATAGGAACCAGAGAGGGGTACAGTACATATATAAATATATATATGTTTTTATTGATTTTTAGAGAGAGTTAGAAACATCGATGTGAGAGCGAAACATGGATAGGCAGCCTCCTGCACGCCCCCTACTGGGGATCCAGCCCACAACCCAGGCATGTGCCCTGTCGGGAATGCAACAGGGACATCTCAGTCCATGGGAGGACCTCTCAATCCACTGAGCCGCACCAGCCAGAGAGGGGTACAGTTCTGAGCAGTGCTCAACGAAGTCTGGAGAACACTACATTTGGGGAACCCTGAGAGCCAGGGGCAGAACCCCTCCCCCAAGGGGACTCAGGAGCCCAGCTCCCTAGCCCCAGGTCTTCCGGTTGTATTACTCTCCGGATGGGACTCAAGTTCCAGGCCCTGCCCTGCCAGGAGGTGCCTGGGAGAAGAGAACCAACTCGTCGCCGCTGCTGGCGTCGGCAAAGAAAAGAGGAGCCTCTTGGTGGCATCATCTCCGTGCCGCCCAGGACGGCATGGCCAGTCTGGTAACCCCAGCCCACTCGGGTCAGGAAACCTCAAAGGCACAAACTACCAGCGTTTCGGGAGCTAGCTCGGTCCGGCCCCACCCGGCCCCGCCCTCGGGCCCCACCCGCATCCCTCTCCTCCGCCTCTAGCCGGAAACCCCCTCCCCCTCTCCCCTTCGGGTCCCCTGCGTCCTTTATACCCACCCAGTCCCTTTCCCTCCGCGGGTCGGAGCAGCCGCTCTCCGCCCTGTCCCTCCCTCTTCCTCCAGCTCGGGTTCCCAGTCCCTAGACCCCTGCCCGGCCCCGCCCAGGCTCCTCCCCCCGCCCCGCCCCCGCCCCGCTCCACCGCAGCCGCTTCCAGCCCCTGCCCCGGCCTCCGGGCCCCGCTATTCCCCTCCTGAGGCCCCGCCCCCAGGCCCCCGGAAGCCTCTCCCCGCCCCCGGCCCCGCCTCCCCGAAGTTTCTTGGGCCCCGGGCGGCCCGCGGGACAGAACGCTGAGAGCCTCCGCCCCGCCGGGCGTGGATGGAGGTGGCGGAGCCCGCGCGGCGCTGGGAGTGAGCGGCAGAGCGGCCGATCAGCTGGACCTCAGCGGACTCGCCATGGAGGAGGAGGTGAGGGCAGGCCAGGCGGGGGGCCAGGGCTGGGGTCTTCGAGCAGCTTACGGCGGTTGGGGTCCCGGGCTCAGGCCCTTGTTCCAGCCAGCCCCTCTCCCGCGGGTCTCGGGACACCAGCACCCCCAGCCCCGCGAGGCACAGCCTAGGCAGGGGAGGCAGGGCCGGGGGTAGGGATCGTGTCCGGCACTTCAACGTCCCATTCTCCTTCATTATCTTTCTGGCTTCTCTCACCGACTGTGGGCATGTTATTGTTCCCATTGGATTGACGGGGAGACTGAGGCTCTGCTGAAACTGGCCTGGAGTGTTAAGTTCGAACTCTGGTTACCACTGACTCTCCTTGCCAGCCAGGTTGGATTCTGAGGGGGCAGACTGTGTGTGTGTGTGTGTGTGGTGGGGAGGAGTCTGTGGGTCCTGGAGTGCCCTTCTGAAGCAATCTTGAGTCTGTGACCCTATCTGGTGGCTGGGAGCTGGAGAAGTTGCTTTTATTCTCCTCTGTTTAAGTCCCTCTGAGTCCTCTTTACCCTACCCTCTCACCTACCCTAGAGTTGGCCCAGTAGGGGCTGATTCTAGCCCCTGCCTTCCCCGAACCTCTGGGAGGGCTAGCTCGGGGAGGGAACTGGGCAGCTGGACCAGCAGTACCTCTTTGAGTCTCTCTCTTACCCCTCAGGACCTTCTTGGCCTGCAGTGGGGTCAGGCACTCTGTGATTCTTGCCCTTTACTTGCACACACAGTTCTCCCAGCAGCTCCAGCATCCAAGCACACTGCAAGCACTTAATGTGTGCCTGTGGAATGAATACATTAGAGGAGGGTCTGCTGAGTCTAGAGGACTTTGCTTCTTGTCCTCAGGGGATGTCAGCCTCTGTCTCTCCTCGCCGAGGGGAAGGATATGTCTGTGCCTGAGTGGGTGGGGAGGAAAGATGAAGCCTTCACTCTTGGGGTAACGCTGTCCACCTAGGAAACCCTGAGTGGACCAGGCTGCCTGTGTCCCCATCAGTGCCCATTTCCTTACTTCCTGGGGCCACTGCCCAGGGGCAGCTGGGATGTCAGGGTTCCCTCCAGGCCAGGCCCTGCGTTTCTGTAGGATGGTAGATAAGTCACTTCCCCTCTTAGCTTGTGTTTCCTCTTCTATAAACTATAGGGCCTGAAGGCCTCCTCCCCAGATCCTGACAGTATGATTGTGGCCTTTTCTTTCCGAGTGGGTGGAAGTAGGGGGCAAAGTCAGTCCACTGTGATTTGTTTTGATTTCTTGCTTACAGAGGTAGGGATGCCCTCCCCTGCCCCTGGGCCCTGTTGTGAGGGCTGGACTGTCTGGCTGTGGCCCCTCCCCTTCTCCCAGAGGATGTGGGACAGGATTACTCCATCTTCTGATCTGCTCTGGCCCCCAATTAAGGGAAGTTCTCCTGGGGCCTCCTGGGCCCATGGTTTGTCTCGTGGCCAGCCCAGCCCTGCACTCCCTCTGGTTCTGAGTTTCTAACTTTGCCACTTACTGACTCTGCCAAAAGCTCCCTGCATAGCTGGGTTAACTAAGGTCTTGCTCACCTCTTCCCCACACAGCTAGGGGCTCCCTCTCCCCTACCTCCCTTTTGGTTTCCTTAACTCTTTTTCTCCCATTTCTTCTCCCAGTCACTTACCCTTGTTTCTTTAGGCTTCAGTGTCCCATCTTTGCTTCTCTAAAACCCCTCTTAGATCATAGTCACCTGCTCTTCCTCATGACCCCAGACTGGCCTCATCATTTCACTCCCACATGGCTGTTTCAGTCCTCCCTCTGGCTTTGAGCTTCCTCCCCAAGCCCCAGCCACCCTGGTGCCGAGCCCCCTCAGCCTTAGTGACCTCCTCTGTGCAGTGGGTTGGTAGACCCTGTCAAGCTGAGGCTTGGGGAAGGAGTGCAGGCCTGGGCCCTGGGCATCTGTCACTTGTGTTCTCAGGGCCTCATTTCCCCAACTATAAAATGAGGGAGGTGGGTGATCCAGAAATGCAGTGATATGTGCAGAAGCTTTGAAAACTCCAAATATCAGTGTGAGGTGTTCTTGACACTGGAGTAAGGTTGAAAACCCTGGACTCAGGCTTTCCTGCTTCTGCCCTGGAGTTCTACCTCCTGCCCTCTTAGTCATGCCTGTTCCTGGTCTGGCCTCCAGTGGCTCCAGGCTGCTCAGTTGCCCTTTCCCAGCTAGAGAGAGGCCAGGCAGTGTCCAGTCCCAAGACTGGTTTTGTTACCTCAAGCTAATCTTGGGCCCTTTCTGGGCTGTACTTTCTCATTTGGTAGTGAAGTTGAGCGTGTAGGGCCTTTGATACCCTTTGTGTCTTTCCTTCTCCTCTGGGCTAAGGTGTGTGTCTCCTTCCCTCTTCACAGTCCTATCAAAACCCTGCCTTCTGCAAGGGCTTCCCAAACTAACCCCAAGCCCTTATCCCATTAGGGAGCTGGGACTGACATATCCCTCCGGGTAGGTGCTATGTCCCTCCCAACAAGCTGGGCCCTCTCAGGCAGGGTCTGCATTGCCCCCACCAGACTGGAAGTTCCTCACGGGGCTCTGACATGGTGGGTTCTTAGCAGAGTTTGACTGGGTTTAGTTAAAGGGCAAAGATGGTCATCATAAGCTCCCTGTGATGTGAGGTGCCAGCAAGTTTTCCTCTGCTGGTCTCCATCTCTCTGTCATGGCCTGTGTTGTGGCTTTCCCTGCTCTCTTCTGTGCACAGAGTCAGGGTGACCTGGCATCTTTTTCTTTTTTTTTTTTCTCCTCTTTAAATTTTTTTTTCTTTTTATCCTTACCCGAGGACATTTTTCCATTTTTTGTTCAGATAGAGTGGGAGGAAGAGAGAGAAACATCGATGTGAAAGGAACACATCGAGTGGCTGCCACCCGCATGACCCAACCGGGGCCGGGGACAAACTGCAACCGAGGTACATGCCCTTAGCGGGAACCGAACCCAGATCTCTTGGGACCCCAGGCCGATGCTCTAACAGCTGAGCCAAAACCGGCCAGGGCTGGCATCTTTTTCTTTAAAAGATTTTTTTAATTTAGTTTTTGTTTGTTTGTTATTCCTCACCTGAGGACATTTTTCCATTGACTTTTTAGATAGAATAGAAGGGAGAGAGAGAGAGATATCGACTGGTTGCCTCCTGTAACCCAGGTATATGACCTTGACTGGGAATTGAACCCATGACCCTTCAGTTTGCAGGCCAACACTGGTCAGGGCATGGCATCTTTTTCTTTTTAATGAATGACCCAGACACCTTCCCACCTCAGGCAAAGGGGAGCCACGCTGGTGCCTAGGGGTGCCTCAGAAGCTGCCCATAGTGGGCAGAGGAGGGCTTGAGTGAGGATAGATGGGAGAGGAGAGGGCAAAACAGGAAGAACAGTGGTCAGCTGGTCAACAAGAGGAGAGGAGGCCGAGAAACTGGGCTGAGCAGGACAAAACATCCCCTGTGAGCCCTGCCAAGGGGAGGGGCCACTTATTAAAACTTATTGGGGCATAGTCAGGCCCACTGGTGGGAGAATGTCTGAGGGGCAGGGAGAGGAGCTGGGTGAAGGGTGGCAGGCAAGCAGGACGTCCAGCCAGGTCTCCCTACAGGTAGCTGTGTCTGTTGCTGTGGCTGATTCTTGATAAGGAGACCCTTCCCTGGGCTTTGGTTCATGCCTGCACCCTTCACTTATCACTGCCCCCCCATCCCCAAGTGCTTTCTCGCCTCAGTCCCCTCCTGGGCCTGCCCTGGACTGGCTTCTCTACTTAATCCAGCCATGGTATTCCCTGGGCACTGCTCTGCTACAACCAGAGAGGACAGTGGTCAAGGCACAAGTTTCTAGCTTTGCACCCTGGGAGCTTCCAGCTGGCAGGAAGTTTTCACACGTCAGTGGGTGAGGCAGGCAGGGGAGGTCACGAGTGGAGGGGGTTAGAAAAAGGTGTGAGATCCCATGGGATGGTGGGTGGGCCCCTGAAAAGCAAGAGGGGAACTTGGAGCTCAGAGGCGGGACACCAGGCAGTGGCTTCATGACCCACCATCTCTACTGCTTGGTTTAAGAGACCTACAGCCTGCAGGCCTAGGAAGTGGCCAACAGTACTGTAGTTACTGGTGGAGGGTGCGATGTTTGAAATGGGTGGGGGGGCTTCCTGTTTCCCACTGCATCCCTTCCAGCCCTGGGGGAATGAGGTCCTGTGGGTCACACGGTCCATGGGCTGAATGAACACAGGGTCTCTGGTGATAGGGGGAGGGGGAGTTGGGTGGATGAGAACCTCCCTCTTCTTCTTTTTTTTTTAAATCCTCACCCGAGGACATTTTTGCATTTATATTCAGATAGAGCGGGAGGGAGAAAGGTAGGAAGAGAGAGAAACATCGATGTGAGAGAGGCACACATCCAGTGGTTGCCACTCACACTGCCCCAACCAGGGCCGGGGACAAACTGCAACCGAAGTACATGCCCTTAGCGGGAACCAAACCCGGGTCTCTCTGGACCGCGGGCTGATGCTCTAACCGCTGAGCCAAACCAGCCAGGGCAAGAGAACCTCCCTCTTCTTGTAAAGGGCCCTGAAGTCTCCTCTTCTCCTGGTCAGGGTGGCTTATACTGGCCTGTGGGCCAGCCTTCCACTTCCTCAATCTTCCATGGTGGAAGACCGTTTGGGACTATCCCACTTCTCCATTTTTCTTGTCATCTACAAGTTAGAGAGAGACCCTGAGGGGCACCTCACACTCCAGGGAGCTCCAGGGGCATTGATGCCCAGCAGCTAAGCCCAGAAAGGGCCTTGGTCTCAATTCTGAGCCAGGCGCAGGGAGAGAGGTCCCTGAGAGTCAGAGGGCATGGCGGTGACAACAATAACAATAGTAACAGCTACCATTTATTAACTTCAGATGTCCTCGGCACTGCTTTATGTGCCATATCTTTTTTCTTTTTTTAAACATTTTTTTCTTTATTGATTTTAGAGCGGAAGGGAGAAGGAGAGAGAGAGAGAAACATCGATGAGAGAGAACATCAACTGGCCGCCTCCTGTATGCCCCACACTGGGGATCGGGCCCACAACCTGGGCATGTGCCCTGACCAGAATCGAACCAGCAACCTCTTGGTGCATGGGCCGACGCTCAACCACTGAGCCACACCGGCCGGGCTATATGCCATATCTTTGTTCAGCAACAAACATTTTTTGAGCACCCACTGTGGACCAGACTGTTTCTAGGCACTGAGGATATAACAGTAAACAAAACAGAAATCTCTGGCCTCATGGAGTTATAATCTTTTTTTTTTATATATCATTTTTTTTTTTTTTATCCTCACCTGAGGACATTTTCATTGATTTTTAAAGAGAGGGTAAGGGAGGGAGAGAGAGAGAGAAACATCACTGTGAGAGAGAAATATTGATCAGTGTTACCTCCCGCACTGTCCCTGACTGGGGCTGGGGATTGAGCCCGTATCCTAGGTATGTGCCCTGACCGGGAATTGAACCTGAGACCTTACAATGTATGGGACAATGCTCCTACCAACTGAGCCACACTGGCCAGGGCTGGAGTTATATATAATCTTTGCCTCTTCTATTTGTATCTCGATTTCACAGATGAAGAAACTGAGGCTTAGAGAGACCAAGTGACTTGCCTCTGGCTTGTGTGACTGGGCTTCAGAGCTAGGTTCCCAACTACCAGAGTGTGTAGTTCAGAGGGTGGGGGCATAGTGAGAACCAGGTTCGGGCTCCCCTGCCATGAGAGAAAGCAGGGAGCCCTTGCTCTGCCCAGCCCCCAACAATTCACCACACTGCCATCTGCCTGGGTTTGTTCTTCCAAAGGCAGCTGTGGCCACAGGGTATCCCTTGGGGGGAGGTATGCTCCTTTTAACTGGGGCCACTTTTTTGAGCTTTATGTAAATTACAAAGTAGTCAAAATTAGTGCTAATTTTCTTCTAGCTCCTCTAGATTCTGACACGGCTCTCGGCTCTCGATCACCTCTCCTCTACCCTCCCCCTCCACACCTACTACTGTGGCTACCAGTCACTGAAGCAGAGTGGTTAACAAATTTGGTGTACTTTTATTTTTATTTCAGAGACATTTCTTGAGCCCCATTATGTGTAAAGGAACAGTGCTGGGTGCTGGGGACCAGAGGTGAATCTGACCCCATCTGGTAGGCATACGCCTAGCACCCAGCTATCCAAGCAGGTAGTCAGGGGGCACAAGATGTCAGTGGCTAGCCTGGAGGCCCCAGGGTGGCTGCTATGCTTAGAGAAGGACTCTGGTCGAAGGCAAATCCCATGGAACCCTCACCAGGTGGGGTGGCTGCCCCAAAGTCCTGGACTCAGGTGGGGAGGAGGGCAGAGGAGCCTCTTGTTTTGCGGCAGAAGCAGGGGACTTCCGAGGGTGTTCTTTAGCAGGGCAGTTGGTAGAGAGGCAGATTCCCACTCTCTGCTTCCCTCCTCTCATCCTCCTGATTCTGCTTAAATGTCCTCTCCTCTGGGAGGCCTTCCTAGGCCACCTTACCTGAACCAGGTCCCACACTGTCCTCTCTCATCCCCCAGGCCCCCTTCACTATTTCCTTTGTAGCATTTAACATTTGTTAATGTGTTTATGTTTAGTGTTCATTTGTTCAGCTCCTTCTTCCCCAAATTGCCAAGTCTGTGAGGGCAGAGATTCATTATTTTTATTCCTCTCTGCCTGCTCCAGCACCCGTGACATTGTAGGTGCTCAGTACAGCATTTGTTGGCTGGTTGAATGAACACATGCTGCCCTGGCCGTTTTTGCTCAATGTTTAGAGCAGCAGCTCTTAGACCAAAGGGTCATACGTTCAATTTCTGGTCAAGAGCACATACCGGGGTTGCAGGTTTGATACCCGTCCCAGTCAGGGTGTATGCAGAAGTCAACCAATTGATGTGTCTGTCTCGCTCACATCAATGTTTGTCTCTCTTTCTCTCTCCTTCTCTCCCTTCCTTCCATCTAACAAAAATCAATGGCAAATCATCTGGCGAGGATTAACAACAAAAAAAGAATGAACACATGGGAGGCAGAATGGTGGAGCGGGAAGAAGGTAGAGTTAGAGCCCCAGTTTGCATTCTGGCTCTGTCCTTCCAGCTGTGTGACTGGCAAGTTATCCCTCTCTTCAGTTTGCTGCAACATGTAGCTAAGTATGCCACCGCCCCAGGCGGTAGTTGTATGGGCTAAATGAGACAGTAGGAGAATGTAACATGTGGCTCGATACAAGGTGGCTGTTGCTAATGTTGTTGCTGCTGCTTTTATTACTGCTATTTTTAACTGGATTAAGAATATTTGCCTTGGGGGTTGTGGGGAAGCTCACATGGGAAGATATCAGTAGGTACCTAGCACAGGGATATGCCCTAGTTCGGCCTGTGGACTGTGTGGCCTCGTGGTGGCAGCCGTCACGGCATGTTCTGCTGCTGTCTTACAGGGTGTGAAGGAGGGAGGTGAGAAGCCTCGGCGAGCGCGGACGGCGGACAAGGCTGGCTGGATCAAGAAGAGCAGCGGGGGCCTCTTAGGGCTCTGGAAAGATCGCTACCTGCTCCTCTGCCAGGCCCAGCTGCTGGTCTACGAGAATGAGGTGAGGACCTGCCTGGCCCTGAGGCTGGGGGTGCTGGGGCAGGGGACAAACGTAGGGCAGCCCAGGCCAGCAGGGGGATCCCAGAACGGGGACTGGAAGACCTGTTCCATTTTTGCTATGCTGTGCAACCTTGGACAAGTACCTGATCTCTGGGTGTCTGTGGCAGGGGACAAGACCTCTCGATGCTGGTCCAGGGGTCCTGGATGAGGGGCTCTTTGAAGAGTGTGTGCATGAGAATGTGTATGTCTTCTCAGTTGCACACCTACACTGCAACTCCCTGGCCCTGGGCTAGGTTCCACATGTGTGAGTGTTCCAGAACACTAAACCGTGCTCCTTTTAACAGTGATAGTGGGAATAATACCGCTCGTGTGTTTAGAGCTCTTGTATGACACTCAAAACACCCATGAATGTGGTCATCATGTCCCATTCCACAAAGATGGATCCCTAGGCCAAGGATGGCCAGATGACTGTTCAGCATCTCAGTGGATGAAGGAGCCAGGTCTAGAACCAAATCCAGTGTTCTTTCCGCCCACTAATGCCAGCAAGTAAACTGCAACTTATTTTTGGTGGAAGTTCTCTAAAACTATTGGGTATTTTCTGCCTTCTTTATTCAGAGGAAGCCACCAGCCTAAACTGAGTCTTACCTTGGTGGCTCAGAGTCACATAGTCAGACCATTCTGTGCTGCCAGACGGTACTCTTCCTCTTTTCTTTCTCCGTTAACATCGGGCTACCAGTTGCCACTTCTGCTGTCTTTGTGCCTCTCACAGCCCTCACATCTTCCCACGTCAGGCTTGTGTCCCTTCTCATTCCAGCAGGCTTGGAACTTGGACAACCAAGGATGCTAAAATTGTGTGTTAAGAGTTAACAAAGCTTGCCCTGGCTGGTTTGGCTAAGCGGTTAGAGCATCGGCCTGCGGTCCAGAGAGACCTGGGTTCGGTTCCCGCTAAGGGCGCGCCCCTCGGTTGCAGTTTGTCCCCGGCCCTGGTTGGCTGTGCAGGTGGCAGCCACTCGATGTGTTCCTTTCACGTCGATGTTTCTCTCTCTCTCTCTCTCTCTCTCTTTTTTTCTCTTCCTCCCACTCTATCTGAATAAAAAATGGAAAAAAATGTCCTCAGGTGAGGATAAAAAAAAAAAAGAAAAGAGTTAACAACTCTGGGTGAAGACCTGAGGAGGAACGGTGGCTTTTACTTATATGATGTTTATGTTCTGAGGCTAAGGCTGTCAGAGGGCCCATCCACTGGAAACGGGCTATCACTGTCCGTACGCCTTTGACAGATGGAATACATGGGGAAGAACTGGCCTGGCGGCAGAAAGGGCATCCTGCCTGTTTCTCATCAGCCTCTCAGCATGCCTCAGGGGATCTTGGCAAATTCATAGCTGTCCCAGGCCAAGAAAGATTGGGCACCCAGGTCTCTGTGACTAAAGGAGCTACCGTTGAGAAGCACTTTGCTGCTTCTGCCTGAGGCCCAGGCTCACAGAGTTAGGGTGTCAGAGAAGCAGCTGGATGGTGTGTAGACAGCCCCCCAGATGTTCTATACCATTGCTCTCACCAAATGAGGATGTGCTGTGGTGGCAGCAGGGGGATGTTTTTATAAATAGAGGGCATTGTCAAAGCTTCCTCCAGTCCCAGCTGCCTACGAATTGAGTGACAGGCCCCCAGCCATCAGTCTGTCAGGCTCTACCACACTTGTCCGGGGCTGCCTCTCCACATCTGGCCACAGCTGGGAAGCAGGAAGGATTTCACATCCCCCAAACATGAAAAATCTAAATCATGCTTTTAAAAATAAAAAAAATCACTATTATAAACCTCAGTGAAGCTTCAAGAACTTAGCCCTCTCTGGGGTGGGGAGCTTGGCCTAGGAGTAAAAATTGAGAAATGCTTATTAGTTAAATTCCTCTTTCTTGATGTAAGGAACTAGGCTAGTGCGAATGGCTCTTGGCTGTTTCTTTGCTGTCATTCCAAAAATGCTGCCCCCGCCCAGCGCCTGATGGTTTATCCGTTTTTCTGAGCCACAGAAGGGATGGATGATTCAGCTTTTCGAGTGGAAAGGAGACCCAGGTCAGGCAGCCATAGGGAGCTGGGTGGTGGAGGTGGACTGACTGACTGTTTGGTTCAGTAGTTGTCCAGGTGGAGAAGCATGTGTACCTGGGGCAGGTGAGCTGCACTCCCTGCCCCTGGGGGTCCTTTTCCAAGCACCTCCCTTCCTCTGGATGCCTAGTAGGTGAGGACTTTCTGGGGTCTCACTCTGGGTCAGGTATTCAGTTCAGCAAACTGGTCCTATATATGTTGCTCTTGAGGGCTGCCCCTTTGTAGGACTCTGTAAGGGATCAGAAAGGAGAGCAGACATGTGCAGCACAGAGGAGAGGGAGATGCTCAGCAGAGGGTTAGACTGCTCTTCCCTATGGCAAGGTGTTCCTAGCACCCAGCTCAGTGCCTGCACCTGGCAGGCACTTTGTGGATGGGGGACCTCAAAGGAGGAAGAGAGCACCAGGGCTCGGGCTCATGGGGTAGACAGTGGATCAGGTGGACTTTACTGTCCCTTGTGTTGAATGGAGAAACGTGGAAGGGATTGGAGGCTAGGGGTTGGAAAGAGATGTGTAGAGGCAAAAATAGGAGACACTTGACTGACTCTGGATGGGAAAAACCAGGTTGCCCTGGCCATATGTTCCCCTTTCCCTGAGGGGCTGAAGAGAGGATAGATCAGTAGTTATCCACATTAGCTGTACAGTCATCTGCTTTGAAAAATACTTTATTTTTTATTTTTTATGTTTTTATTGATTTTTTAGAGAGAGGAAGGGAGAGAGAGATAGAAACATTGATGTGAGAGAGAAACATTAATCGGCTGCCTCCTGCACACCCCCTACTGGGGATCGAGCCCACAACCCAGGCATAATCTTCACCTGAGGATATTTTTCCATGAATTTTTAGATAGAGTAGGAGGGAGGGAGGGAGAGAGAGAGAAACAGAAACATCGATTAGAGAGACACATCGATTGGTTGCCTCCCGCACACCTCTAACTGGGGGTCAGGCCCACAACCCAGCTATGTGCCCTGACCAGGAATCAAACCAGCGACCTCCTGGTGCATGGCTCCATGCTAAACCAGTGAGCCACACTGGCCGGACAGGGCATTGGTATCTTTAAAGGTCCCAGTGCCACCAAGGTTGAGAACCAGAGATTCTCAAACTTGTGTATACATCAGAGTCAGCTGGAGGGCTATTACAACTCAGAGTTCCAGGCCGATTCCCCTAAGATTATGATTTAGTAAGTATGGACCTGGAGACTTTGTATTTCTAACAAGTTCTCAGTTTATGCTGCTGCTGGACCAGGGACTACACTTGGAGGACCACTGGTGCAGAGCAATCTGTTGCTAAGCGCTGACCAAGCCTCTGCCCTGGCTGGGAGGCGTGCACTGTGCTGGGAAGAGCTCTGGCCTGGGAGGCAGAGGATATGGGGTTGAGTTTGGCTCTGCCCCTTATATTTGTGTCTGTGATCCTAGGGAAAATCAGTTCACCTCCAAACCTCATTTTCTTCCTCTATAAAATAAGGCAAATACTGGGACTCTAGGCTTTTAGAGTGATCGAGAGGCTCAGGAGAATCAGGGATGAGAAAATGCTCACTATGTGTCCGGGTTGCATGGTACAGTTGTCTCTTGGTGTCCACAGGGGATTGGTTCCAAGACCCGTGTGGACACCAAAATCCATGGATGCTCAAGTCCTTTATATAACATGGCATAGTATTTGCGTATAACTTACACACATCCTCTCATATACGTACTTTAAATTATCTCTAACTTATAATACCTAATACAATGTAAATGCTATGTAAATAGAGTTTAGAGATTAATGGCAAGAAAGAAATGTCTGTACATGTTCAGTAAAAAAGCAACCGTGGGCCGAGCTGGTGTGGCTCAGTGTTTGAGCATTGATCGTCCCATGGACTGAGAGCTCCCGGTTTGATTCCTGGTCAGGGCACATGCCCGGGTTTTGGGCTCAGTCCCCAGTGGGGAGCTGATGGATGTTTCTCTCTCACATCGATGTTTCTATCTCTCCCTAAAAAAATCAATGAAAACATATTAAAAAATAAAAAAGCAACCATGGTAGGCCTAACTACACAGTATATGTAAGCAACAATGTAACTGTTTTTTCCAAATATTTTTGATTCGAGGTTGCTGGAATCTAGGGGTGTGGAACCCTCGGACACAGAGGGCCAACTGTATGTGCAGATTCATGGAGGAAAATTGGGGCATTTCCTCTGCAAATATTTGAGTCAATATTTCCCAGATATTCTGCCCAAAACTGCAGAGCACCGAGGGGCTCCCCGGGTGGGTGCTCTTGCTGGCTCTCTGCTGGCGTCCAACAGCAGCTTCACTTGTTGGCCACTTTCCAGGACAGTGTTTCCCCTGTCCCTGCCCACCCAGGGTCTGTTTCTTTTCTTTCATTTTCTTTATTGATTTTAGAGAGAGAGGAAGGGAGAGGGAGAGAGAGATAGAAATAGCGATGAGAGAGAACATCGATTGGCCGCCTCCCGCATGCCCCACACTGGGGATTTGGCCCACAACCTGGGCACGTGCCCTGACCGGGAATCGAACTGGCGACCTCTTGGTGCCTGGGTCGCCGCTCAACCACTGAGCCACACCGGCCGGGCCCCAGGATGTGTTTATATTTCCCTGGAGTTTCCAGGGTGAGACTGCCACATCCAGAAGTTGTTCCAGCCAGGTCTTCCTGGAATAGGAACCAACTGATCGCCACTGAGGGAGCAGCTTGTCCCAGGCAGCTTGCTGGAGTCACCTGGTGGAGAAAACATTCAGGTGCCAGGGCTGGTGGGCAAGAAGAGAGTCTAGCTAGTGTCCAGGGGTGGCCTAGATGGGGCTGACCACTGTCCTGGCCACTGGCCCTTATTGATGAGGCCTCAGGATGACAGCCTGGGGTTGGGGTGATCTTAAAGGAACCATTGTGCTCTCCGCTGTGCGGGCCATGGACAGTGGCCTCTCTCCCCAAGCCAAGGGTCGGCAGAGGAAGATGCCAGTGGAGAAGTCACCTCAGGATCACTGTGGTGAAGGCAGAGCACGTAGCCCCACATACGCCTTGTTCACACTTCCCTCTGTGGCTCTGCCTGGGAAGCCTTTTTCTCATTTTGTGACAACTTGCCCCCTCTCCAGGCTGCCTTTGCCACACATCTCTGCCTGGTCTCTGGGCCTGCATGGACCCTCAGGCAACCTTTTAAAGCTTCCCCGGTTCCTCCTACTGCCTTAGGCACATTTGAGTCAGCCCTGCTCCCCACCTCCGGACTGTGAGCCCTATATCTCATGTGCACGGTGAGCCTTGAGGGTGTCCCTCCAGCCAGCACAGACTTGCTGGGGTCTGAATTCCTCATCTTGGTGACTGATTGGCAGCCTGGGGTTCTGACCAAGTAATGCCCTTGCTGAATGGAACCAGGGTCTGAGCAGGGCCTGGATATCTGCGGGTCTGGGTTTGTCTAGCTCTCACCATCTCTTGTCTTGTCCCCTCTGTCTCCCTCCCCAGGATGAGCAGAAGTGTGTGGAGACCGTGGAGCTGGGCAGCTATGAGAAGTGCCAGGAACTTCGTGCCCTCCTCAAGCGGAAACACCGATTCATCCTGCTGCGATCCCCAGGGAACAAGGTAGGGCTGTGCCTGCTGTGGCCTGACCTTCCTCTAGGCTGGGGTCTGCTTGGGAAGATCATCTCTGGAGGCTCTAAGCCCAGGCTGGGCGCCTGGATGCAGCCTGCACGTTCTCTGTGGAGGGTGCCTGAGGCTCAAATCTGGGGCAGCCACAGGTTGTATCTTTTGCTCATTTTGTCATGGAGTCTTCCCAGCTGCTGGTTGATAGGAGATGCATTTAGGGCTCTGCTGAGAGCTCTGCTCCCCTCTCCCCTTCAAGGCTCTGGGGCCTCCTTCCCAGGCTGTAGTTGGAAAGTAGCCTTTGGGAGGTGGGGCACTTGGCCTTCTCCCACACCCTGGACACAGGAGACCCAGGGCTGAGGCAGGAAAGCTGGAGATGAGGCCTTCATCTCACCAGGCCTCTGGCACCTGACAGTCTGGTCCAGAGGGGAAGGTGTGGCCTCCCTTTGTCCCAGGCCTATCTGGATAGGCCCTCTATCCTGCAGCCTTCCAGCGTTCTTGCCCTTGCACTTTCCTTCCTTGGCTGATGCTGGAAAAAGCTTCTTGCCTGAGAAGTTCTTCCCTGGGACATGCTGTGTGTGCAGATGAAGTGTGCTGTTTGTACCACATATCCCTGGCGGGGAGTCTGGTTGAGTGTTGACACATGGTGTAGTTTCACAGATGTCAGGAGGGAGTCAGATTCGAGGCTGGCGTGCACAGCACCTCTCTCCAGCTCTCGCCCATCTGCAGCTGGGTCACGCCTCTCCCGACCTCTGCACGTCATGTGGAGCCTCCCAGAGTGGAGCTGAGTCACAGAAGCTGGGGGTTGGGAGCGGGTCTGGTCTGGGCCTGCGGGAGGCCATTCTGTTTCTTCCCCAGCTGGCAGGCCAGGAGCCCAGTCCTCAGCGGCCCTGAGAGGGCTCCGTGCTCTTGCACTCACTAACCCTTTGTCCTGCCCTGCCCTGGGTGGGGGCAAAGAAGCAACTGCAGGGCTCTGACCCTGGGATTGGGGGTGTGCGCAAGGTGGGGGCTGGTTTATAGTATGAGGGTTCATGGGGCAGGGCCCAGGTCTCACGGCTCAGGGCTCTTGGAGGAAGAGAGCCATATTTTGGTCTGCAGACCAGGAACTCCTACCTGTCCTGGAGGCCTGCTTTCTCTCTGGTGGGCCCTATATTCGTGTATGTGCATGTGAGAGACAGTCTGAGTTTGTTATGCATGAAGGTCCTGTGTGTCCAGCACATGTGTGTGCATCTCTTTATGTACAGGTGTGTGTCCACCTGGCCACAGTCTGTCTGGGGTCTGTGTGTTTCTTAGTGAGCTGTGTGGACGTGGAGCGGAGGGCGCATTGCTGCTGCCCTCTGCGTGGGCCGCCTCCTCTTTCCTGTTCTGAGGATCAGCTGGTGGTGGGGTAGGTGGGTCAGGCTCAGTGCAGGGTGACAGCACCTTCGGAAAGGCCTGTCTGTGCAGCTACAGTCTCACCTGCTCTGACCAACACCCTCCCTTCCATTCCCCAATTCTTCAGAGAGGCAGGAGGGCTCAGGGTGACTCTGGGAACAAGATGATCAGTCCCCAGCAGCTATGGAGCAATTGGTGGGGGCTGCAGAGCAGTGGGGGGACAGTATACCCTGATTCCAGCTCAAGGGCCCCTAACCCTTGCCCCCCCCCCCCCGCGGAGCTCACAGAAGAGAGTGGGAGCTCTCCAGAGGGCACACGAGGGACCGCCAGGAGTACCACCACCCCCACATCCTCACTCTCCTTTCCTATCGCCCTGGGTGTTCCCCATCCTCAGTAAGGCTGCCCGCTGGCTGGGAGGTCACATGACCCCGGCTGTCTGGTCCTGAGGCCGCCTGTTTTTTCCTTCTAATCAAATAAACAAAGACTCCAGTGTCTTGCATGCCCCTCTCCCTCCTGTCTCTCCATCCCCACGCCCCTGTCATGAGGTCACAGGCAGACGCTGCCAGAAAGCAGGGTGGCCTCTGCTGGGCCTTACTGCCTGCTGGTCTCAGCCAGCTTGGCCCTTTCCTTCTTCCTGCCTCCTCCCCCTCCCACTTTTTTCCTCTCTGCCATTTTGTCCTCCCCTCTTTGCTTCTACCGTCCTCAGGGCCTTTGCCCCTGGAGCTTCTTGGAAGGACTAGGGTGGAGACCTGTGCAGCCGGTGGCTCTTCAGGACCTGGGGGGAGGGGCGGGGCAAGAGGAGCAACTTCTTGGTATTCTGCCTATCCCTGTTCTGATCACCCTGTGGGATGCCTGGCTCATTTAGCCAGAATCATAGGTTCCTCAGGGTGGGGCTGGGTCCCATTTATCCTTGTATTCTTCTCTTAGGAGAGCCTTTTGGCCAACACCTCCCCTCAGGGTGCCTCAGGTGGGCTGGCCAGTGGGGAGGGCCACAGTTTGGGTGGGGTTCAGTGGTTCTGTTATTGTCCCACTGAGGCCCAGTGAAAAGACCTGTGCAGGCTGCCATTGCAGGTTGGTGAGACTAGAAGCCTGATCTCGACCCCCGAGCCAGGGCTCTTTTTCCGCCCCCTCCCGCTGCATCTTGCTGAGTTCAAGTACATGCCTCTCGAGCTCTCTGGGATGCTAAGTTCTGCACCAGGCAGGATCCCCACCAACTCGGGGCCTGCGAGCAGGAGCAGCAGCTGGGCTCGGAGGGGCTGGCTCCGGTCCATCCCAAACCCATCACAAGGTTGGGTGGGTCCTTGCAGAGCCCGGATGCAATGCTGTTCCTCCCTGAGCTCCCAACAGCCCTCATGGCTGGGCTCAGAGGCAGTTGCCAAGGTGCCCTGGGGTTTCTGACTTAACTGCAGATCTGCTGCCAGGATCGAATTTACCCTGGTCATGCAAATGAGCATTTGGCTGTGCCTGGCATGGGCGGTGGGTGGGACCCAGGGCCCTGCAGGAGGAGAAGCGGGAGGCAGCCAGGAGGAAGTTATATAACAAGGATGCTGAGGGGGCCAGGAGGACCTTGGTGTTACATAACATGTAACTGGGGAGAGTGGCGGAGGGAAGGCGCTAACCAGGGCGGGGGATGGGCAGGCTGGCGACCCGCCTGACAAAGAACTAGGGCATCTTGAGGTCAGGGAGTAGGCAGTGGCCCAAAAACAGGGTAAGGGAAGGAAACTTGGGCTAGTTCATTCATTTAGTGGCTCACTCATTCAATAACTATTTACTGAGTACCTATTATGTGCTGGGCCCTGGCTTTAGTCAGGTTGAATGCCCTCAGCATTTTTCCAGATGAGGAAACTGGGGCTGTTTTGTCCAGAAGGAAGGCCATGGTGATCATTTTTACTACTGAGTACTCTATACCCAACTCCAGATGTAACACTTTAAATACGTCAGTGAACTTCACAGCTCCGTGAGGCAGGTCATGGTGGTGGTCTTCTTTTACAGATAAGGAAACTGAGGCTCAAGGTGAGCCAGCTGTAAGTGGTGGTCTGTCTAACTCAGAGGCCCTGTTGCTACGTCCACTATGCAGAGCAGGCTCTCAGTTTGCCTGGCCTCACTTCTTCCATCATTTCCTGTCTGACCTTGGGGCCTGGCAGGCAGGGGGGAGGGGTCTCTCTGAGCTGCCCTCTGATTCTGATGTAGGCGCTTGGAGCTCCCCCCTGAGACGGGAAGGGACCTGTGGTGTGGGTGGCTTGGGGTATGGAGTCAGGAATCGTGGGATTACTTCAGGCCTCCTTGATCAAATCCCATCCCATCTGGTGAGCCTCTGTTTCCTCATCTGTGTTATGGGAGGTTGGAATTGACCCCCAATGCTTTTTCTAGTCTATGACTCAAGGCCAGAAAGGAGACCCTGGGACTTTTTCATTTGGGGCCAGGGCTGGGTGTGGGGCCCACTGTGGGCCTTCACCAGTGGACATTCCTCATGCCCATCACCTCTGTCACCTCAGTCCCAGGAGACTGGGATGACTACTACTTCAGAGAAAATGAGCCCAGAGGGGAGGCAGCTGGCCCGGGGCAAGCAGTCACATGGAGCAAGACCAGGTGGGAGCGCTTTCCACAGGACAAGGCTGATTCGAATCTAAGTCTGACAGCTACATGCAGGGAGGGAGCCCCTTCTCTGCTGGACCTCTTCCCTCCCTTCCCCTGAAGCCCCAGAGTCAGACCTGTTTGTCGGGGTCATTTTGGTTTGCTCCTAGCCAGCTGTGCCACGGCCAGCTTTGGGATCTGGGGTGGGAAGCTTCCTTAAGACCCCAAATATGAGCCCAGTTAACAATCTGCTATCTACCCCACCCATGCCCCCTGCAGGTCAGCAACATCAAATTCCAAGCACCCAGTGGGGAGGAGAAGGAATCCTGGATCAAAGCCCTCAATGAAGGGATCAACCGAGGCAAGAACAAGGCTTTTGATGAGGTGCGATGAAGTCCTGTGGACAGCTGTGTCCCCTTTCCACCGTGTGAGCTCAGAGAGGACCCTGCCCCACCTCACCTCAGACCAAGTCCCTGCTACAAACACTGGGGCATAGCCCTGGCCGGTTTGGCTCAGCGGTTAGAGCGTCGGCCTGCGGTCCGGAGAGACCCGGGTTCGGTTCCCGCTAAGGGCACGTACTTCGGTTGCAGTTTGTCCCCGGCCCTGGTTGGTCGTGTGGGTGGCAGCCACTCGATGTGTCCCTTTCACATCGATGTTTCTCTCTCTCTCTCTTCCTCTCTCTCCCTCCCACTCTATCTGTACAAAAAATGGAAAAATATCCTCGGGTGAGGATAAAAAAAAACAAAAAACAAAAAACACTGGGGCATGCTATTGCATCATTTAATCCTTACAACAGCCCTCAAAGTAGGTGGTGGCATTCCCACTTTACTGATGAAGAAACTGAGGTGTAAGGAAATGAAATGACTTATTTAAAATGAAAACATGGCCCTGACCGGTTTGGCTCAGCGGTTAGAGCGTCAGCCTGTGGAGTGGAGAGTCCTGGGTTCGGTTCCTGCTAAAGGCATGTACCTCAGTTGCAGTTTGTCCCCAGCCCCGGTCATGTGGGTGGCAACCACTCGATGTATCTCAAATCAATGTTTCTCTCTCTCTCCCTCCCGCTCTATCTGAAGATAAATGCAAAAATGTCCTCAGGTGAGGATTAAAAAAAAAAAAGTGTAAAATGAAAACATGGGTAAGTGGTGGGGTAGAATTTGTGGGTTGCAGCCGAACAGCAGGTGCGCCCAGGCCAGAGAGGTTTGGAGGGTGAGCTGAGAGCCAGGAAGCTTACTTTCAGTTTGGCCATAAAGTGTAAACCAGGCTGGCTCTAGCCCAGGGCCCCCCTGTCTGTTTGCAGTGACCACCCAGCCCCCTGTGCTGAAGTGATGGTGGCAACAGTGGCCATAGTCAGGCTTGGGATAGGTAAGGTGTCCCCTGGGGCCAGATTTCCTAGGGAAAATTATTATTATTATTTTTTTTTATCCTCATCCAAGGACATTTTTTTTTTGTTGTTTTAATTTTTTTTTTGTCCTCACCTGAGGATATTTTTTTGCATTTATCTTCAGACAGAGCAGGAGTGAGAGAGGGGGGAAGAGAGAGAGAATCATCAATGTGAGAGAGACACATCGAGTGGTTGCCACTCACACTGCCCCAACCAGGGCCGGGGACAAACTGCAACCGAGGTACATGCCCTTAGCGGGAACCAAACCTGGGTCTCTCTGGACTGCAGGCTGACGCTCTAACCGCTGAGTCAAACCAGCCAGGGCATCCAAGGACATTTTTGCACTCATGTTCAGATAGAGAGGGAGGAAGAGAGAGAGAGAGAAACATCGATGTGAGAGACACACATCGACTGGTTGCCACCCACGCGACCCCAACTGGGGCCGGGGACAAACTGCAACCAAGGTACATTCCCTTAGTGGGAACCGAACCCGGGACTCTCTGGTCTGCAGGCCAGTGCTCTAATCACTGAGAAAACCGGCCAGGGTGGGAAGATTATTTTTGACATCATGGATTTTTAGCTATTTGGGCTAAAATGGACCTGGAGGCTGCCCGGGGTGACCCTTGGATTGCAAAAGTCTGAGACCCGAGGGGAGCATATCTTTCCAAGGCCCCTGACTTGGAGCCGCGCTCCTATGTCATGTGTTAATGTGACTGTCAAGCTCAGTGCTTCACTAGCTGGGGAAAATATTCCCATTTTGTGAGACGGGGTGAGGGGACATATTGTGGGTACAGGAGCGTGGGCTGGGCTTCAGCCCACAGTCTTGGCAGGGTGGAGTCAGTTCCTCTGAGGAACAGACAGTTGGCTCCTCAGGTGGCCTGAGTCCTGAGCCTGACCTGGGGGCTGGGGCTGGACAGTCTTAACCCCACCCCCATCACAGGGATAAGCTGCTCTGGGGTTCAGAGTCTGGATTTCCTATGTGAAGCTTTCTCTGTGGCTTCCTGGCTACTCCCCACCCCTTCCCCTTACCCTTCGAGAGGAGATGCTGTCCCCAATATACCCTGACCCAAGGGCAGAGGCCCTGCTCTTTCCGGACCTATCCTCAGGGCTCCTGGGAGGGTGGCTGTGGCCAAGGCAGGGCCTATTCTGGAAGCAGGTACCAGGGGGTCCACGGGCTATTGTATCCCTTTCCCCCAGCTAAGCCCAAAAGCAGCCTCAGGGCTACTTACATATTTGCAGTAGACGGGGAGGGGGAGACAGCCCATGTTAGGGCAGGAAGACCGAGGCAAAGAGGGCAGCTGCAAGGGGAGGACGAGTCTCAGCCAGCAAGAGATGACACAGGCGGCGTAGAAACGGAGAAGAGCAGAGGTCCGACATGGGGAGATGCTTCAAGGGGCAGCAATGGGGCTCTTGACCCTGTGAAGTGAGGATGCGGGAACAGACTCTGACTTTGAGTTAATACCTGGGTAATTCCTTCTCCCCCCACGGCCTGGTAGGGACTGACCTGGTTCCTCCTCCTTCCCAGGTAAAGGTGGACAAGAGCTGTGCTCTGGAGCACGTGACTCGGCACCGGGTGCGCGCGGGTCAGCGGCGCCGGCCACCTACGAGGATCCACCTGAAGGAGGTAAGACTTTGTCCCCAGCTTAGACAGATGGGAGGTCAGCTGAGCCTGGGACCCCAGCTCCTTAGGATGGCAGCCAGGCTCGGGACCCCTCTTCCCCCGAGGCCTCCTGGAGCTGAGGCCTCCTGAGCGGCATTCGGGGGTCTGCGTGGAGGCCGGTGTGTGAGAGGCGCTCAGGGCGAGGCTGCCGGGCTGGGGGTCCACACGCCGGCCTCAGCCAGAGCGGGTGCCGGAGGGAAACGGACTTGGGGCCAGTCCGTGCCCCCAGAGCTCAGCTTCCAGCTGGAGGAAGGACATGCTCCGCCAGAGCTGTGTCTACCTTGTGTACAGAGGACCCCCTGGCACTGGAGCTGGCCCTCTGACGGGAAGGGTTTCAGTTGGCAGATGTGGTGTGAGGGAGATGCCCGGTGGAGGGAGTGGCATGAGGCACGAGGAGGAGAGTTCAAGGTGTGCCGAGTCCCGTTGACAGGGAGATCTGTCAGGGAAAGTGGGGTCAGGGGGAGGAAATTGTGGAGACCTTGAATGCCGGAACTGAGGACAGGATGAACGGGAAGGCACACCCAGAGGTCAGTTTGAGGCCCAGGGTATGGGGGGGTGGGGAGGTTTGGGTTAGGGAGGGAAAAATAGGGGACCAGGAGGAAGAGGAGCATTGGGGCAGGGCCTCCAGGCTCCCAGAGGGGTTAAAAAGGGAGGGACCAGTGCGAGGGAGACTGGGAAGCAAGAGTCACCTGTGCCTGTGATTGACTGCAGGGCTGGGGGAGATGGACTAGACAGAGAGGGAGGGTTGTCGGAAGAGCCCCCAAACCTGGAGGCTGGGCAGTTTAAAGGCCCTGGGAGAAGGTATGGGCAAGGGGAGGGGTAAGTGAGCCCCTTTCAGACCAGTGTTGCTGATGGGGATGGGTGGTGGGGGTAGAGAGATTGGAGGCCAGGAAAGAACCGCAGCGCATGCTACATTTGGGGAGTGGGGGAAGTAGAGAGCCAAGGAAGAGGAGGCCAGAGAGGTGAGTGGCACATCTAGGGAGAGAAGGGCACAGGACCTAGGGGTCGTCAGCCAGGTGAGCAGCCACAAGGGCAGAACTGAGGGACAGGCAGGTGGCAAAGTTTACAGCATATGTTCTCAGAGGAGTCAGCCCAGGGCTGTTGTGAGCTACAAAGCTAGGGGTACTGAAGGGGGGGATTATAGGAGGAAAGAGGGAGAAGGGAATGGGCCAGGGTCCCCAAAGTTTGTTTTGAGGTGAGGTAACCTGTTCCTGTCTGTCAGCTGAGGGAAAAAAATCTGCAGAGGGAACAACTGAAATAGCCAGAGAGGCGGGAGGTCTAGGAGGTGTTGGGGGAGGGCCAGCCTTGGAGGAGAGACCCTTTGAGAAGAAGTCCGAGAGGGACTGTCATCCTGGTGACTGAGTGTGTGTTGGCCAGATCACCTGTGTGCATGTAAAAGGGAGTGGGGGTCCTGGCTGCAGTCCACACACTCCAAGCCGCTGAGGGACCTTGAGAGGGGCCTACTGCCCAGCCCTGCTCCAGGGCCTCTGAGGCTCCCTGGGAAGGTCCACGTGCAGCTGCTGGGGCCAGGTTGGTGGCAGCTGTCTGCTTGGTGCAGCTGTTTCCCTTTGGCAGTCAGCTGTGGTCTGGGCTGCCTGTGTCTGGGGCCACATCTGACTGTGAGGAGAGTGGGCACAAGCCGCTGAGCAGCTGGGCAGGCAGGGGCTGGAGAGAGCTGGGTCAGAGGGCCAGTGTGGGCTGGCAGACTGGACAGAGGTCTCCAGGGAGGGGAAGCAGAAGTGAGCGAGTGCAAGGAGTTCTGGAGACCATACTGAGTCCTGGTTCCAGCGCCGACTGGCTGTGGGAGTCCTGGGTGGGTGGCTGCAGAGAAGGGACCCTCTTGAGACCATACAGCCAAGAAGGGTCAGAAACAGGGCTGGAACGATGTCCCTTGCTGCCCAGGCCAGTACAGTTGTCACTAAACAGTATGGCCTCTTTTCTTGGTTGGAAGAAGCCAGGCTGGGGCACCGAGAGGACAGCCTGGCTCTGACTTCCTGGCCTGGGATTCTAGACCAGGGAATTCTACGAGTGAGAGAGAGGAGAGATGCAGCAGAGGGTGTGGGGAGGGGGGCTGGGGACCTGGGCAGCCTGGATGGGAGGGCTTTGTTCCCTTGTAGGTGGGCACATCAGACTCAAAGGCCTGTCATCCAAGATGATGCCCATATGCTGTCCCCCACTAGGTAGCCAACGCGGCTTCTGATGGACTCGTACGCCTGGACCTTGATGTGCTGGACAGCAGGCCACCAGAGTTTGTCCCCAGCAGTGATGCTGATGCAGCCCAGCCCCGGGAGATACTCCGGCCCCTCATGCCTCCTACCAAGCCTTCCCCAGCACCTGAGATGACCATCATTGGTGACAGAGTGGAGACCCCTATGGGGGAGAGAGCCCCAACCCCTGTCTCAGCAAGCTCTGAGGCCCACCCTGAGAGCCAAGAGGACTCAGAGATCTCAGTGGGGAAGGACAGTTCTGAGCAGCTCCCCAACAGGGTCCTGCCTGACAGACTGAAGGTGAGCTGGGAGAACGCCGGCCCTGAGGAGCCCCCCGACGCCGAGAGTGCAGGACCACCCCAGGCGCCCTGTTCTGAGACTTCTGAGGCTTCGATCAAGGAGGGTGGGAAGCCCCCTGCACCCCCACCCAAGATCTTATCAGAGAAACTGAGAGCCTCCATGAGGAGGGTGGAGGCTCCAGGGCCAGCCCAGAGTCCTGGGGCCTCTGAGACCTCAGAGACCTCTGAGACCTCAGAGACCTCAGAGACCTCTGCCTCAGGCTCAGCACAGGTCTCAGTGAATGGTGTGGATGACAGTCCTGAGCCTGTCCAGCCATCCCAGGCTGCGGGCACCCCAGGAACTCCCCAAAAGAAAGCAACAATGTCTACAGCACTGTCCCCCTCGAACTTGCCACCTCAGTTCCATCCCCGCTGCTCCTCCATGGGGGACCTGCTTGGGGAAGGCCCCCAGCGTCCCCAGCAGCCTGGAGAACGGCTGTACCGGGCCAAGCTAGAAGTGCAGGTGGCCTCAGAACAGACAGAGAAACTGCTGAACAAGATGCTGGGCAGTGAACCGGTCCCCGTGAGTGCCGAGACGTTGCTCAGCAAGGCTGTGGAGCAGCTGAGGCAGGCCACCCAGGTCCTGCAGGATATCCGAGATCTGGGAGAGCTAAGCCAGGAAGCACCTGGGCTACAGGAGAAGCGGAAGGAGCTGGCGACCCTCTACAGGAGAAGTGCACCCTAGGGCCAGCCAGGCCAGGGCACAGTCCATCCTGGCCGGCCCAGTTCATCAAAGCCCAGCCCTGCCAAGCATGTGCTTCTACTCAGGCTGTTGAAGGGCCATTGGACATGTCAGGGTTTGGGCAGGACCTGCAGAGGCTCCTGGTGTCCTGCTCTGCCTTGGCCAGTGGTGCCAGGTGCCACCCAGGGCCACTATCTGGCCTGACCTCTGGCCTCTGGCATGGGCTGGGAGCACACACTCAGGACCTCTGTGCTTGCGTGGTGGTTCCGACCTGCCCCAGGGCTTTGGCACAGCACTGGGCATTCTGGGGGTGGCATCATCTCTGCTTCTCACCCCCATAGTTTACATTCCTGACTTCTGAATAGAGCATAGCTGAGCCCCCCCACAGCCTCCATGTCCAGATATCCCAGGCAGACAGCCTCATGGCAAAGGCTGCTTCAGATAGTAACTAACCAACCCTCCCACCCATCTGTTCCCAGTAGCTGCTGAGGCCTTGGGTCCAGGCTGTAGGTTCATCCCTCAGCTGATGGCTTCTGAAGGAGGTAGGAGGCACCCGTGTGAGAAAGCCTTTGCCGCCTGGCCTCTGGGCCTTCTGTTCTGCAGGCCTTCCCCTCTGGTGAGCCTGACACAGGGCTCCGGGGTGGAGGAGGAATGGAAAGGCCTCCTAGTCTAGTCCCTGCCTCTGGACCAGCTTGCGTCCGGCCTTGCACATTTCTGTACAGGTGAACTTCAGAGTAGCCCAGTGTCAGCACAGAAAATCCTGTATGTGGTTAATTATAAATCAGCCTTCACAAGAGAAGCCGCCCCAACTTCTGTGCCTCCCCAGATGGGACTTATATCTGGGTCTCTGTGGTTCCTCCACAACTCAAACAGGTCCAGTATCCCAGACGTTTCTTCTAATGCTGAGGGGTACGTTGGGGCCCGAAACCACACCTCTGTCCCCACTTCCCCTCACCCGTCTGGCTCAGGCCCTCGATGGACTACTCGTGAGCTCCTGAGCTTCCTCGTGGACCGGGCATTTGCTCCTGGCCGTGCCTGCACCCTGGACCTCTCCCCGCCCCCCGGCCCTGGGAGCGCACCCCGTCTCCATCCTGCTGTAGCAGCGGGACTGCGGGCAGAGCCTGTGGGTGCGGAGGCCTTAGGGCTGCAGCCACTTTCCCTGGGCCCGTGGGAGTGGGAGCAGCTCCTGACCGGCTTGCTCAGGGCTTCTGCATGTGCACTTTTGTTTCCTGGAAGAGGAGAGGGGGTCTCAACTGCCTGCTCTGGCCTTGCTGCCCACTGTCCCACCCCCCGCCACCAGTTGTGCCCACCAAGGCCTGCCAGTGCAGGCTGATGCCTTCTTTACTGTGCTTCTACTTTATTCTTGAGGGTAGTAGCCAGGGATCAGGAGGGGCAGACAGATGTCCACTCTGCGGCAGATAGATGGGTGTGAGCAGCAGAGTCATGGCTCACGAGCCCCCATGGATCTCCCCAAACCACACTCCTCAGACAAAGGAGGCTCCCATGTCACAGACTGCCTGTCCATCCATCTCAGTATGAGAGCAAGAGTGTCATCAAGTATCCACAGTCGTGTAGCCCCTGCAGTCTTGCGTTGGGGAACAGCCCTCCTGTGTGGGCTGCTGGGCTTTAGCCATCACCTGCTTTCAGGGACCAGAGCCTTCATTTCCCCTCTGACACGTGACCAGGCAGAGGGAAGAGCTCTGGGGCAACCTCAGTGGCCTAATGCCATTGGCTCCTATGGGGTCTCCATCCCCTGGGCAGCCAGGGCCCCAAGGGGAAGCCAGCTTCCAGGGTAGGGAGCAGGATAGAAAATACGCAGGGGCTACCTTGCCTGCCTACTGGAGGAGGATGGCATTCCATGTCTTCGGCTTATGAAGCGCCTTTCTTGAAGTTTGGCAATAAATCCCTTGTTATGGAACTTTTGTGCTGCAAGCCTGTTTGTTGTGGGACCAGCTCCAGGGCTAACCTCAAGGAAGCAGGGGGTAGGCGCCCAATCAGTGGCCCCACTGGTCCTCCAAGCCCTGTTCTAGGGCATCCTTCCCGCAGGTTAGCTGGGGCATCACCCTCCACAGTGCTCCATCTTTCTAAGTTGGCCAGGCCTCCAATTTCACCTGCAGCTGGGGCTGCCATAGGAACAGTGCTTTTCAATTTTTAAAAGCTTTATTTGGAAATAATTTCAAGCAGAAAAGTTATAAGAATAAGAATAGCAAAAAGAACACTCACAATCTACCCAAATTGACTCATCGGTGTGTCTTTGGAGCGCTTTGTCTCTCTTTTTTTTTTTGGTACATGCCCCAGTGGAAACCGAACCCGGGACTCTCGTCCGCAAACCAGCCAGGGCTGGGCTGGAGCGCGTCCTTAACATACGTACACACACTTTTTTCTGAAGTGTTGGAGAATTATCATGGTCCTTTAGCCCTGAATACTTAAGTGTGTATTTCCTAAAAATGAATATATTCTCTTATGTAACCATAGTACAGTTATCAACTTCAGAAAATTTAACACTGATGTAATAGTTACTATTCATATTATAATTCTGTCATTTGACCCAGTAATATCCTTTATCATATTTTTCCTCTAGTGTAAATTTGGATATTGCATACATGTCTCTTTAATCTCCTTTAATCTGAAATGTTTCCACACCCTTTATCTTTCATGACATGGACATTTTTGAAGAATATAGTCCTCCCCCACTCCCTTATTATTATTTTTTTAAATCCTCACCTGAGGACATGCATTTTGTGATTTTAGAGAGGAAGGGAGAGAAACCTTGATGTAAGAGAAATGCCAATCAGTTGCCTCCTGTACTCACCCTGACTGGGGATCGAACCCACAACCCAGGTATGTGCCCTGACCAGGAATCGAACCCTTTTGGTGTATGGGATGATGTTCCAATCACTGAGCCACACCGGCCAGACCCCCTCCCTTTTTAATAGGACATTCCTCACTTTGGGTTTGTCTGAGGTTTCCTCATAATTAGATTGAGGTTATGGAGTCTCAGCCAGAAAACTGCACAGGTGCCACCAGGTCCTTCTCAGGCATCACATCTATCTGCCCCTAGGTGGTGATGTTAATTTTGATCACCTGGTCAAGGCGTCTGATTTCTCTCCTGAAGAGTTAAGACTTTTCTCTTTCAATGAATAAACAGTCTGGGAAACATTTCAAGACTATGCACAAATATGTTGCATCTCATCAAATATCCCCCTACATTTAGCTTCCACTGAGAATGCTCGCCTGCACAGGTATTTTCTATGATGGTTCAAAGTGGTTCCAACTGTTATTTTAACTTCAGAGCCTTGTCCAGGTTAGGTGCGAGCCTGGGCCCCAGCTTATGCCCACAGCACCCCTAACACTTCAGTGAGTGTTCTTTGGCAGACCCTTGGCCAACAGACAGAGCTCAAAGCCAAGCTGCCAAAGTTGAAGTTCCACCCAGGGATGTTAGGAGTCTCAGCCTCAGTTTCCTTACCCATGAAAGGGGAATTGCAGTGCTCCCCACTCCCCTATGTGGGAAAGCACCACTGTGCTCCCCAAAGTCTGCCTCCCTTCCTCTGAGGGCTGCTGGACAGTCCCAGTGGCCAGCATAACAGGAAGCACCTGATCCGGGGCCTAATGACTATGGCTATGACCCTCGTGTCCCTCCTGAATTCCCCTGCCACTGGCCTGACATGTGACAGCCACACTGAGTGAGCCGCCTATAGAGGCTCGGGGGCCCCCAGGCAAATCACTTCACCTTCATGGGCCCCTCACCTGTGAGGAGGAATCGAGGTAAAGGGGAGGAGTCCCTTTATTGATGGGGGTGGCCGGAAACAAGTTCCTCTCTGAAGGACTCCCTTAACAGGACAGCTGCTGGGAAGGTGTCAGTGGCTGGCACAAGGCTGAGGAAGGATGTGGTGAGAACTTTTCCTCCGGTCCTGGGGGCCGAAGGCCTGTGCAAAAGTCTTCCTTTTGAACACATGCTGTGATGTCTCGGTGGCCTGAGTCCTGGGGGTAGTTATAATGCACGGTTCTGCGAATTACAAGGTGGCCACCTTCAGACAGGACCAGGGACAGAGCAGGGATTGGTGAGGGAGGGGACATCCAGAGTGCCCCTCTCTTTGCCCCTACTTGAGCCTGGGACTTGGAAGTTCCCTGTATCTTTCTGGAGCCACCATGTTTTGTGACCTGCTAATCCTGTCTTCTGGGCCTCTCTCCTCACTCCGTGAGACGTGGCATGAGACATGAGACAGGGCTGTCAGAAAAGGCCACAAACTCAAGTGGAAGTTTCTCAGTGTTATGAGGAGGCTCGGGGGGCGGGGGAGGGACACAAAGAGGATAGAGAGGTAATGGTGGGAATTCCAACCTGTTCTCATAATTTTATTAAAGGGACAAAATTTCTGGAGGAAGTAGCTGAGTACAAGTAGAAAAACCATGACTTTAGGCAGACACATCTAGATTCAAGCCCCAGCTATGAATGAGTTATGTCAGGTAAACTGTGCCTCAGTTTCTCCTCTCTGTAAAATGGGCTAATTCTCCTTTCTTCATAGAAAATGTTTAGTAAACTCCAGTGGCCTGGCCTCACTGAGCTCCTACTACTTGGCAGGCCTGTGTTGGTCTCTCATTGTCGCCATGTGGCCTCATGAGGAAGATGTATTTCTGTTCACTCTGTTTACAGGTTAGGAAACTGAGGTTTACACAATTTGCCTAGGAGACCACGAGCTAGTAGTAGGACCTGGGACTTGACCCCCTAGGGTCCTGGCCTGGGGCCACAATCAACTACTTCCTGCTTTTTCTCTGGAGAGTCTGTGACTTCAGATGGACACTCAGCCCAGGTGACTTCTGGCAGGCTGGGGGTAGCCCCACCTTTCCTGGTGCCTGGAGGATACCCCGAGGCTGGCCTGGCTCTCAACCAGCCTGCTGTGGCCCAAGGCAGAGGCTCTTGAGGCCCTTCCCTTATAAGGACAACAACTCAGCTGTGATGAAACTTCTCTGCAGCTCAGCTGGGTGGGCGGGGGAAGGGAAATGACAGGCTCCAAAGGCTACAGCTGAGAGTTTGGGCCTTCGCAGGAACTGGCCCTGAGCCTCCCCTCTCCCTTCCTGTGTCTGTGCTGCGCAGAGTGGGGCTTTCCAGTGGGTCCCACTAATAGGAGAGGGGAGGAGGAGCTGGGGCCTGGGAGGCCAAGCGGGTGGCCCGGAGAAGGGAAGACGCATAAACTGAGGCCCAGAGAGGGGACAGGACTGTTGTAGGCCCAGCAGAAAACACAGTCTGGACTCTCAGTGTAGGCCTGTCCAGCTCCAGCTCTGCCCTCAGACTGGCCAAGGCCACCTGAGGGCCTGGCAAGGAGCCAGGAGGAGGCTCTTGGACAAGACCCCGCTCTCCCTTTGGACCTCTAGGGTCAAGTCATGAAGGGATGGGGGTGTGAGTGGGCTGGTGGGCTAGTGCTGTTACCCTGTCCTCCTCCTCCCACTGCTGTGTCCCTCGTACTCTGCCATCACCAGAATTCACCAGCCCACTCTCCACCGGAGAAACTCATCGTGGAGTCACAGGAGAGCAGCGCTGATAAGGATCTTTAAGCCCATCCAGTCCCTCCAGGTTTTAGAGGAGGAAGTAACAGCTTAGAGGGAGGACCTGACCTTGCCCATCTGTATTACACAATTTAAAAACATGTGTGTGTGTGTGTGTGTGTGTGTGTGTATGAATAAATAAATAATAAATTTTGGGGGATTTTTTTGGGTTTCCTATTAAAGCTCCTTTTTAAGAAATCCCAACTTGTTAGCTGAATAAAAGGACAAAGGGCTCTCACACCCAGGTCAGGCCGGCTCTGGGGAGCGGTGTTTCCCTGGAGACCAAGTCTGGGGAGGGAGGTGAGGCCAGCTCCCAAGGGAGAACCAAGTGTGGCGGATGGACAGTCGGTCTCCGACACTGCTGTGCACGGGCTGTGTGAGCTGAAGCGGCTGCTCAGCCTCTCTGAATCTCTTCCTCATGTCTCCCGGCAGGGTGATTTTGAGGATAACATGAGATAATTGAGATAAAGCATCTAGCTCAGGACCTGGCACACAGTAGAGGCATACTAAATGGGTAATGATATTGTGTGCTGGGCACCTACTCTATGCTGCCAACATTACCTTGGGTATTGTGGGTTTCGAGTACAATAACACGGAGTCCCTTCCTAACTGGCACTTGCCCATTGCCGTCGGGGACACAGACCTCAGTGGGATGAGCCCTGAGTCAGATGGGCAAGTTCCACAGCAGCACAGAGCAGGGATCAACAGGCTGCTTTTGCTGGGGGAGCCAGGCAAGGCCTCGTGGAGAAGGTCACCTCTGCCTGGGCCTTGAAGGAGAAGTAAGAGTTTGCCAAGCAGAAGATTTGGGGAGGCCATTTGGGACAGAGGGAACAGCATGTGCCAAAACAGAATCACAGTGTGTTACTGGAATTGTGACAAATTCTTTATGTCATATCCTGTAGGAGGAGGTGTGAGAGAGGGGTTGGGGGCTGGGAGATGAGGTGGCAGAGGCAGGGGGTTGTGATATTCACCTAGAAAGCTTGGACTTTGTCCTAGAGACCAAGGGGATTCATGAGAGGGTTTTCAAGAGGACAGGGCAGACCCTGGCCAGTTTGGCTCTTGGGTTCGATTCCAGTCAAGGGCATGTATGTGGGTTGAAGGTTCCATCCCCGGTCCCGGTCAGGGTCCTACGGGAGGCAACCAATCAAAGTGTCTCTCCCACATCAATATTTCTCTCTCCCTCCTTCCCTTCCATTCTATCTAAAAGTCAAAGAAAAAACCCCTGGACGGTTTTGCTCCGCGGTTAGAGCGTCAGCCTGCGGACCAATGAGTCAAGGGTTCAATTCTGGCCAAGGGCATGTACCTCGGTTGCGCTTCGTCTCTGGCCCTGGTTGGGGTCGTGCGCGAGGCAACCAGTTGATGTGTCCCTCTCGCATGAATGTTTCTCTCTCTCTCTCTTTCTCCCTCCCTCCCTCTTAATCTGTCTAAAGATAAATGGAAAACTGTCCTCGGGTGAGAATAAAAATAAATAAATAAATAATAAAAAAATAAAAATCAATGAAAAAAATCCTCGGGTGAGGATTAACAATAAAGAGGACAGGGTAGGCTGTGGGGTGGAGACTGGAGGCAGGGAGACCAGCCAAGAGGTGGCTGCAATGACCCACGTGTGGAGTGGTGAGGGCCTGAGCTGGGACAATGACTTTGGAGGTGGCGTAGAGTACACCTTTCCTTTTTTAGGAAGCAGAATGGGGGATTTCAGATCTTGTGGATGTGAGAGAGGAGTGGGAGGAAGGGAAATCATAGACAACTTACAGGATGCTGGGGCGTGGCGGTGCCTTCCTGGGGTAGGAAGCACCAGGGGAGAGGCAGGATGGGGAGAGGACAGCAACTGTGCGAGGGTTCTGGTGAAGAGTCAGAATTGG